AACTAAAAAAAGGGAGGGAGATTTTTTTTATGCCTCTTTTCACTTTGAAAAACTTGTAATCTCTTATGTTGTTCTGCCAGCCACTATCGCGAGAAAAAAAAACATTTGGTTTACGTTGTTTCCAGAGCATGGTTGAGCTAATGGAGTTATAATGACAGTGTGTGTTTTGGTAGGGGGTCGGTGTAGTAACTAGCCAAATAACTGCTGAGAGACAAATGGTGTTTGTTTTGCTGGTTGTTACATTTGATGGATTTGAAGAATGTGTTGTTTTGTTAAGTTCATCTTTTGGGCAACCCAGTACCATAAAAGAGTAATTTTAACTCCTCTATCTATGTCCTTTCCAACATTTAACTTTTAAGTACACTTGAGAATGGCTGGTTTCTTTGACTTGGTGCTTGAGTTTTATGAAGCTTCTTATTTTATGTGCTTCACTTCCTGAAGGCTATCATCGTAATGTCTCTGAGCATTTTTTAAATTTATTAGTTGGAATATCCATCAGTTTTTTTTAGTCTATATATCGGTATATATTTAGCTGCTTTTCATCAAAAATGAAATACAGAATTCTATCCATCAATCCATTTTCTATACCAAATGGGGTCCATTAGGTGTAGAATCGCAGGGTGACACAGAGAAAAACACACACTTCTAAAGGCCATTTGGAGCATCCACTTAATCTAGCATGCATTTTTTTGGACAGTGGGAGGAAGTGGGATTACCCCGGAGAGAACCCACCCACCCAGACATAGAGAGAACATGCTAACTCCACACAGAGAGGTCCCGGACTCCCAGGGACTCAAACCGGGAACCCTCTCGCTGCAAAGCAAAGCTGCTAACCACCACGTTGCTAACCACCACGCCCTACAGAATTCTAATAGTTTCCTTTTCAATTACTAATGAGATTGAATCAGTCCCACATATGCATAACCAAGAGGAGCTACATTTGTAGTTACATGGCAGTTATCAATCATTAACGTGTTTCCAGTATAAAAAATCATTTCTATTTAAAGTAATCCGGTTGGATTTGTTTTGCTCACAGCCTTTATCAGTTCAAAGTTAGAACTAAATTGAATTCATTATAATATTGGAATATTATTATGTGGCATTTCTAATCATTTAAACAACAGTTATTGCAGTTCAATTACCATTGAAACTATGGTAGTGTCAGCGTGAATATTTAGCTAAACAATGATCATTGTCATGTTAAACTTGTGGCTGCTCACGTCTGGATTCTGAAATAACATGAAGCGTGAGGGAAACCATGTCTGCGCAAGGCCTGACTGTAGCCTATTTAAGGGAACTACCGGTGGTTTGTGAGGTTTATCAGATACACAAACTCAACATCTGTACTGTTGGTTTTGGTTCAGATGTTGCAACAACCAGTGGTCAGCAGAAGCTGACACAGAAACTTCATATGCACCCACATAGGCTTTAAAGCATGCACAGTCTGAAATTCTGTCCACATATCCAATGTCTCTATATTAAAACTTGGGAGGACATGACCCTCAAGGAAAACAGTGGCCCCCGGACACACTAGATACAGACACACACACACACACACACACACACACACACACACACACACACACAGTGGACTGTTGGGACTCACATTTCTGAGGGTTCTCATGAGCAATTTCTGCCTTTTCTCTACAGACCTGAAAGTAAATACAAGAGGAGGTTACACAAACACACTTACTCACACAAGGGTACCCAGGCAGTAAATGTGTGAAATGTAACACACTGTTGAGCCATTTCCCCTTCAGAGATTAAGAAAGAGACAAATGGGGGCAAAAAGAAGGAAAGGAGAGGAGAGAAATGGAAACCAGACCAAGGAGAGGGAACGCACAAATCGAAGCACAAGTGTCTTCAGTGTGCACCACGTCAGGAAATCAGTCTTATATTGATTGATTAGTTTTGTGTGTTTTGAGTCAATGGATGCAAAAATAGATTAGCAACTTTATTAGATTTTAAAAAGATTAGCTTCAGAAGCTCCAGAGTCTTCTAGTGTCCAGTATCAACTGCGTCTACAATTTCTGGTAGTATTTATCATATTTGACAAAAGTTTTGAACTATTTCAAAATGGCAAATGGCTGGTAATCATATAGACTTTTCAAAAAATATTTTTAATGTGGGGCTTTGGGTGTGTGTCTCTGTATGTATAACATATCTGTAACATTAAGAGATGGACCAAGTAGAAGATTTTTTTTTCTTTATTAAAGATATCTGAAAGAACGAAGGAATGCATGTTCAATAATGCATTTGTTTGACCAATATGAAAAATAAACATTTTCAATCTTTGCCAGATCTGAAGAAAGGTGCAAAACTGGTACAGAAGTCTGGGAGTTTGAGGTTTCACGCTGAAAGCCTATTTACAATTTTACTCAATGTACGAGGAAAAGCTTAGAAATGTGTTGCATCCCAAATTTAATCAAAGAGCATTTTTCTGTCATTGAGCAGAGAGACTTGAATGTGCATGAAGCATTCGAGTGCACGGTGTCAAAATTCTGTAATTATTCTTAGCCCCCAAACCGACAGTCTTTGTGATCTCTGAACTTCTTCAGACAAAAGCTTCCTCTTCAAGCTACGAATGTAGTGATAATGGACGGGTCAGCTGGTCACTGGAACAACACTCTGCATATCCAGAGATTAGTTCTGTCCCTCATAGTTTGGCTAAGTAATGCACTTATTTTTGGATCAAAGATGGGTTCTTATTTTAAACATTTGAAAGGGATGTCCCACTTTCACCGCCCCACACTTTTCCTCCTGTGCAGTCAGGGGGCATTTAGAAAATGTAGATGAAGTGTTTGAGAAATTCTTCTTCTATAAAAATCTAAAGAAACTAGTAGAAATACAAGTTGTTAGAGCACTGACCAACATATAGATATTCACAGATTTTTCCTGAAACAAGGGTGCTCACTGCTATATTTGTTGTTTTAAGTAAATCATCTGAATACAAATCCATTAAACTACTTTGGTCAGCTAAATAATACAAGGATATTTCAAACATCTAATTGTCAGAAAATATGGTTTAGAAAAAAGGTAAAAAGAGAAATCTGCCTTGGATTTGTCTTCTCAGAATATAGAACAGCCGTGGGGCAGACACTGGTGTCCCAATGAAATGTCTGTGATTGTCTTATTCAGTAGAGAGATGCAGGAATATTTAGGACATGCTTGAACATAGAAGGGTGATTTAATTTCAAATAAATAAATACGTTGTTATTTATTTAAAATTGACTGGAGTAAGATTGGTTTAACAGTTCAAGTTCCTTCCTTAATTTATGTTAAGGATTTATTTTATTCCACTAACAATTTTAAATGTATGTAGTTTCGAGAGACCGTGCATGCATCATTCCCTCTTTTGGCTTTTCTTTTTTTCCCCCTTTTTATGCCTGCTTTTTTCTCTCTGTTTTGTGTTTTGAATTAATGTATACAGCAGATTTGCACATGGCTGGCATTCCTGTACCTTATGACTTGTATTTTGGGTAAGTTGCTATTCTCCTGGAACCTGATCAGAACATGTTTTTTATATAATTTTCCCAGCATGGCCTTTGCTGGACATAAAGTCTTTGACATGTTCTTTTATACGTTACTATTTAACAATCCTAGTTTGTGTTCAAGGAAACGTTAGTACTCTGTTCAGGAAACATATCTATGAAACTAAGAAAACAGACCAGCAGATGTACGAAAAAATCTGGTGTGGGTGTATGTGAATAAATTCAAGATTAGGACTCAGGTGAAGACAGATGGGTGCACGGTGCAGCTGTTTGTGCAGAGGCCTAAACAGACTCGGGCTTTTTGTCGTTCAAAGTTATTTACTACGTGCCTCAGATTCATAGCCTTTGATACCTGAAGTTCCTCAGTTAAAAAAAACTCCTTCAGTTAAAAATTCAGAGACATCATAACCACCACACATGAATGCACTTATTTCAATGCATCCATACACATAACCAGCATGAACACATAGGCAAGACACTCCATAGGTACACTGCTATTGCTATTATACTTGCTATTGGGCCCAGGTAAGGTTAATGTAGATCAGCATTAGCATCTGGTTTTCACTCAACGTTTTATGAACACATTTAGTCATACAATATATGCATCTGAAGGATTTGAGGGAATACTTTGATACTAAACTATCGTATGGGCTGCACTGTACGGACAGTGGAATCAGTTCAGCCAATCTGTGAGTTAGTTTGCAGGAGGTCTGGCAAGTAAAGTTTACAAGTCATGAGGTGGGGGGAAGGGTGTGCTTTCTGCTAAGAGTACTAAACCATGTTCCCCCTTCAGATTAGACCCCCATGCCGCTTGGCTTTAAATATGCTGACGTTTCTCAGAACTCGTCGTGCATGTGTCAGAAGGGAGCGATGGAGGGGGAGTCCAACAGAGGGAATGAGGAGTGCAGTTTGATCGGAATACTGGCACCTCAAGTTACCATTTAGTTGAATAATGCCAAGACACATTCTGTGACACACCCATGTAGGAATTCATATCACTCATACACAGAGCTGGCTCCACGTGACCTGCCAGGATGCTATTAATACCAGTCTTCAGGATACAGACCGTGCTTAGCATTTGCATTTCAGACGCATAATTTACTCCATCATCTCTCATTCCAAGTTACTTTAAAGACATTGCAAGCTGCAATCACAACCTTTTTCTGGTGATCTTTTAAAACCTGAACATATTTTTTGCATCATAACATGCATGATAGCCAGACAGACTCAGTCTGCTTCTCTTACAACTAATGGTTCAGCTTTCCTGTGAAAATAGCCACATTGTTTTTACCTTGGAATCTTTTGGTATAAACAGTAATCAGACATTTTTGGTTTTGCAATAAAACTTCCGAAATGTCAAAGGGACATTAACATGTGGATGGAAGACAAAGAAGAGCTCTTTAAGCTTTCTTTTTTTTTAGCTAACTGCAAATAGAAACCAGCTCTGCTTTTTTTTTACATGCATAACAAGTGTTAAATTGAATTGAACAAACCAACACAAAAATAATGACATTTCTATTCCTTTTTGTCCAGATGACTCCAGTTCCAGAATGGGAGGAGGAGCAGCTACTGGTGACTTGGAAAACCCCCCGGAGTTAGCAGGGAAACTAGGTTAGTACCTAAATGTTTGTTTTTTGTCAGTTTTGGCTGGATCTCATCACTACATGAACATTAATGAAAAAGACATTTGGACGTGACAATTAAAAGTAATATTTTAATGTGTATATTAAAATATACACATAGGATATTTTAAAAAGATGCTGTCAGAGAGAGGGTGAGGATGATGACTGTTCAGACACACATCAGGGTGGCTGTTGTGGTCATAATTGCCTCTGACAGAGTGAAGAGCAGTTTTTTTGTGTGAGACCTCTTTGGACACCCTACTTATCCTTCATGCTTATCCCATCTGGTGTTGCTTGTTCACATCCTTGTCCTGAACACTATCTGTTTCCAAATTTTTCTTTTCTTCTTTGTTATAATTGCAAGTGAAGATTAATGGGTTTTTGCACATAAATCAAATTCCTATGTATTCAACCAGATGTTTCCCTCCATTTCTTGTTGGTCTAAAGAAGATGATCTGATCAAAATAGCATATTTGCTAAAATTCTTTTCTATTTTTATAAAATGCCAACACATTTTCTGCAATTAATTTGTAAGGTTGATATCTCTCTGGTCACTCTGACACATCTCACATTGGATGTTCTGAAACTGTGGCAAAAACTTGAAGCCAAAACAGGATGATCCAGTGGTAGTCCAGTTTCACATCCAATCTGTAGAATGCTATGCTTTCATATTTCTGTATAAACACACCTTTCTTATAGGTTAAGGTATATCAGACTTTTACCCAGACTGTAAACTCTCTACTGCATATTTTAACCAGCCTGTTTTAGCTGCTGTATGGGGACAAAAACAGGATACGTTTAATGTATAATTGTGTTATTATCTAGAATATATTCCGGACTCATAAGGTTCTCTCTTTAACACACATGCTATGCTTCCCCCTCACACTCCCTCCCTGGCACACTGTCTGATCAAAGGCGTCAGTCAGAGGGTCAGCAGTATTTTTACACTGTGAAGTGTGGCGTTGAAGTGGCCCCTGAGACCCAGAACAAGCCTGCCCTTTAGCTCGCTCTGGCTCTCACCTTCTCCCCTCTGCCGCTGCTCTTTCAGTTCCTCCTTCTCCTCAGTGTGTTTATCTTTCATTCTACCACTTCATTTGCCCTCTCATTTACCTTTGCATTATACTGTTTTAACAAAGACTATTTCTCACTTTGTTCTCAATTTGTCTTTGAGTTTTGTGCATGTGCACTAACCTCAAAATGAACTTAAATGGCTCTCTTTTGATGTTGTTTAGCTATATAGAAATCAGTTCTATGATAAAACACCTTTCTGCAGATTTTTTATTACCGTCTTATATTTACCCAGGCCTACGATGAATTAGGTTTTTCCCAATCAGCTGAATACGAGCAGTCATCAAAGGTTAATACAAATCTCTGATTCTTTTTCTTTGCTCTCTGCTCGGTGTATTGACTCTGTCTGGTCATAGTTCAACTGTAGTCCAGTAGCTTTTTCTCAGACTCTGAAGGCACAAAAGCAAGACTTAAAAGTCTTTCCGGTCTGTTTGTTTTGTCATTCTGCCCGGTTTCGGGCCCATTAGAAGAGAGCTGAGGGTTCCACTGAGCAAAGCATCTGTGGTGAGATCTCCCAATTTGAAAGCACAAAGCCCATCACATAACTCTTCTCCCTATTTGTTTACCTGGAGCTGGAATAATAACTGGGTCTAAAGAAAGAGATGCAACTGCAGTAGTTTCAGACTGATTTATCGCCCCAGCTGATGGCGATCTGCCGCGGCTGGAGCTTGGGAGCCATAAAATCAAGCGCTCCTGTGAATGATTTCCTCTCCTCTCTCCCTACTGGATATTTTTTTCCCTCTTTGATCTGTTTTCGCAGATTTTTTTTTTTTCATGTTTTTGTGTTTAGCTATACTCGTGAGGTTAGATTAGTTTAGCTCAGTGCCATTTTCTTTTAACAAAGTAAGAAGGAAAAGGTCATTTTGAGGGACCAGACAGAGTTAAGTCTTACCACGAGTGAAGGGAAATCAAAATAAAGATTAGGTCAACCGGCTAGTTTATGCTTTATGAAAAGTGTTTGAGTTGATTTTTGTCGTGATGCAGAAATTCTCTCTACCTTTCCTTTACTTAGTCATTTTGTAGTTTACTTATTTTGGGAATGGCCTCTCATTCATGCTTGCTGTTTGGTGTAGTGCTAGCCTATAAAAGCAAAGAGTGAGAACATGTGAGAGCTGCTGGAAACATGCATGCTAAGGGATCTGGTGCATGGTCTTTTGCAGGCGCTTGTGACTAAGTCTTTTGTGTCAAGGACAGAGGAAATGATTCACGATTTTTTTTAAACAAAACAATTAGGGTTTATTACAGCAAATTAGACTGTATATACAAAGGGGCACACTGCCATATGTTGTTTCAGCACAACAGTCAATTCCTGGCAAGCTCTTCAGCTATGACCTCAGCCTGTATGACGCTCCTCACACTGCAAAAAGTGTCTGGGTCTCAAACCTGCGAGAATAATCAGTTTGTTTCTGATTCCATTTCTCTTGTTTACACCCTTCATGGAGCCACAAGTCAAGCACATTGTAACCATGACAAACTAAAGCCTTTTCACATCAGCTATGAGTTTGCTTACACAACAGCTATGACTATTAGGGCGGTTGAAAATTCATTTCCAATCATAGTGATTACTGAACATGTGAGCATACATAAACAAATCAGATTTTGCTTAAAGCGGAGACTGAATTATTACAATATGTATTCTTATAAGGAGTGTCCATCTCCCAAAATAGGCTCCTAGAGTCTGTAAAATGTCATGCTGACATTTGAATTGACATTTTTAGAAATTGGTATTTCTAAGCTAAAGTTCTGAGGAGCAAATCTAAACTGTAATTTAAGAGGCCTGGAACATTTCTTTACCTTCATTCCATGACACAGTCTTGTCAGATAACATGGCTTTGATTCCTTTTTATATCTAATAAAGCTGTCACTTAGGAATTTTCAGTGAATTCCTCAATTTTTCCCAATCTGTTCTGCTTCTGCTGGTCTGAGGAACAAAAGGCTGCTTGTAAATATAAACTTTCTCCATAAACCATTAACTTCCACTGGTAACTGTCTGTTCCCTTCTTCCCTTTTTTCACCGTTTATTTTACCCACTTGCAGCTGACTGAGAGAGAGAGTAAGGCCATCTATCTCATTTCAACTTGCATTTTTAACTAAATGTTCCTCTTGTGGAACCAAAGAATGAAAATATCACGTTTGCAGAAGTTATTATAGATCCCTCTCAAATACCTTCTTCTTCTTCTTCACAATTTCAGTTCGTCCTCGTTTCACGCAGCCGGCAAAGATGAGGAAACGTGTCATTGCGCGGCCTGTCGGGAGCTCGGTGCGGCTGAAGTGCACGGCGAGCGGGAATCCTCGTCCAGACATCGTCTGGCTGAAGGACAGCAGGCCGCTGGCAGACGAGGACGGTGGAGCAGGAGGGGAAGGCAAGAAGAAGTGGACCCTGAGTCTGAAGAACCTGACGCCCGAGCACAGTGGGAAGTACACCTGCCATGTGTCCAACAAAGCGGGAGAGATCAACGCCACCTACAAAGTGGAAGTCATACGTAAGTCCACCACTCCTCAGAGCTTTAATATACATTACATGAGCTGTTTTTCTCATTTAAGGGATGCTGCTGATATAAAATAAACACTTAGACAGGTGCCTTTATGGAGCTTTTTTGTATTTGGTGTGGGACATTCTCTAATCAGTTCATCTTTGTTGTACAAGGACATTTTTTTGTAAAAAAATACATATGTTTGAAGGCTTTTTTTTTAGAAGTTGGGAATTTTCGCTCACGTAAGATAGAGTTTAATGTTTGTCTGACCATACCTTATGATCTGTGAAATTGCGTCTGTACACGCAGTCCACGCACCACATTCTAAGGCCTGATGGCAGAATTTTTTATGGTGGTTCAAGAAAGATCTGCAACTGATTAATGCTTTTTTTGTTTCAATCAACCATATATTGGAAATTTAAACTTACTCTGTTTACAGTTGTGTAAGTTCAATTTAATTCAAGCAGTCGCTAAAAATAGCAATTTTTTGTGGTTGGTTGTCATCCAGTTGACCGTCTATTAGTATGCAGTCAATGTATTCTGTGATGTAGCAATACACAAATATACTTGCATAATGTTAAGCACATGGAAAAATGTATCTGCTTGTGATCTCGTTGTTTGGTTTCCCAGGTTGGTATTTTTCAGAAAGAATAGCAATTTCCCAAACATTATTGCATTCACATGCCAAGGTTTGTGTATAACCATTGAACTGAGAAGCTATTTTGACTAAGTTGTCGGATTTGAAACAGGGTTTGTCTCCATTCTCACACACACCGTTACAGGGTACCGCGATTAACTTTCAGCTAATTTATTTGAAAAACAGTCTGCATCCATGGAGCGACCAGGAAGGGAAATGTCTCTCGTACTGTATGACAAAAAGGAATTTCCTGTCTTCAAGTTATCGTGGGTATTTGTGCAGTAAAGCTTAGGTGCACACTATCTGGCCTTGTTCCGAGAATAGAAGTTTAAAATAGCTTTTAAAAGCCTTCTTTCGGTGGTATTTATTGATCACCTGTCAGTAAACATCGCTCAAGTGAGAGAAGAATTTTCTTGGGGTTTTCAGTTCAGTAGGTGAGCCGTTGCAATTTTTCTCTAAACGAGTCCAGTTTTAAGGCAGGAGTCATTATGTGAGCTATGTGTGTGTGTTGCAGGTTGTGTTGGAACGGTACAAAAGCTGTTGTGAGGCTGCATAATGAATGTTGAACATTATGTTGGAAAGATGATGTGAAATGTGTGTGTGTTGAACTGTGTGTTATCGCTCTGTTGAGAGGCTAAAACCAACTCTCTTGACGCTCGCTTTACTCACCACATCTGTTCCACATTAAACCACAGCTGTGCTCTGTCCTGGAGGACAGTTACACATTCACACTTTGGTGCACGCACACACACACACACATACACACACATATAAAAGGAAGTAAATCAACTGCTGGTTGCTCATGTCAGATGTGACATTTTCTCTATCAGTTGAGATTAAATCAGCTGTCAATCAAGCACAACTGTGAAAAGATCCCAGTCATAAGATCAAGTGAAAGTGTTTTAGGTGTATCTGGCGTCCTGGAAATGTTCCTATATGAATACATTAACAGTTATTAAAGCGGTGTGGAAATCTGTGTGCCCTCCTGTATGACAGAGAACAGATGCAGAAGACAGAAGGCAATAAGTCGTCAGTTTACTTTAGTTTATTCTATTCCACATGCTCCACTAAGCTTTATGTTAATCTGCTCAGAGGGTTTTGCTTCACTTGCAAACAAACAAGGAAAATCATCTATTACATATGAAAAACGTTGTCTCTTTTGTATCACATTCCTCAGAGCGTACCAACTCTAAACCCATCCTCACTGGCACTCACCCAGTCAACACCACAGTGGACTACGGTGGAACCACATCTTTCCAGTGTAAGGTCCACAGCGACGTCAAACCAGTGATCCAGTGGCTTAAAAGAGTTGAACCTGGTGACGAGAACAAATTCAATTCCACCATCGAGGTACGGGCAGACCCTGGCAAAAGTTTCAGAACGTTCTGATTTTGAACTGGATGACTTCATTGACATGTGCGTGGGTTTGTTCAAAGGTTGGAGACCATCGCTTCGTGGTGCTGCCTACTGGAGAGGTTTGGTCCCGACCTGACGGTTCCTACCTGAACAAGTTGCTGATAACCAGAGCCAAAGAAGAAGACGCCGGCATGTACATCTGCCTGGGAGCCAACACTATGGGCTACAGCTTTAGGAGTGCCTACCTCACTGTGCTGCCAGGTAATATAAAGAATTTAAGAAGAATTTTGTTGTTGAACTAACAGAAAATATGAACAAATATCCTCAGCTAGAATTGTATCCACCAGATTTTCTGAAATTGTGGGCTAGGAATAGACACAACAGTCTTAATAATGCAAATTGTCATTGATTTATATTTTTTCTTGCCTTGCTGCAGATAGGAAACCTCAACCCAACACTGTCCACACAGCAGCGTCTCCCAGCCTCCCGTGGCCTGTTATTATTGGAATACCAGCTGGCATTGCCTTCATTTTAGGCACTGCCCTCCTCTGGTTCTGCCAGTCAAACCGCACCTGCTCCTCCTCATCGTCCTCATCCTCCTCCGCTCTCCCTGCTGCCCAGCGTCTACCTGCGGCCAGTCGCGACCGAGCCTGCCCGGCCCCCCCCCCTCAAGCGGGCAACGGGGACAAGGACTGCCTTTCCTACGAGGACTACATCGCCCATCAGCAGCTGCTCGCGGCCCAAGGAGGCGCCGGCCTGGCCCCCAAGGTCTACCCGAAGATCTACACCGACATTCACACGCACACGCACTCACACGTGGACGGGAAAGTTCACCAGCATCAGCACATCCACTACCAGTGTTAGCGGCGACGCTAGCCAGCCGTGCGTCACGTGCAACCCTTTCGTGGACGTGTTCCTGTGCAGACTCAGTTATCACGCTTAAAGGTTGATATAAAGAGCGAAAGAACATGCAAGAGGCCATGCAGATTAAAGAAACACAAACTCGGGATCATGCAACTCTGCTGCGGCTGTGTGCCGTTTGCGAATGGACTGACTCAATGCATGAGAAAGGAGCAAAGTAAGGAGGAAAGGTCTTTATTTTTCAGCCAATCCAAAGAGATCTACGAGAGAAAAATCCCCAGATACGTTTTATTCAAGGGTTTTTTGATATAGCGTAAAACAAATAACATTATAGCTAGCTTTGGAATGTATAGGAGTAATATTACAGCATTTAACTTCCTGCTTTGCCAAGGATAATCTATGAAAAGCGATATAGCTTGCTGTAATGAATATCTCAGGCATCAGCCTAACTGAGCCATGAAAACACAACTCTGCTGTTTCCAAAAAACTTAGCAAGCCTAGATGCTACGGTTTTTTTTCTACTGGGCTGCAAACCGCTACTTATATACAGTTGCTATTGGACAGTGTGTGAACAAGAGCTAATGGCAGACTTAGTGACAAGTTGGATCTCCTTTGGAAGATTGATTTTTTATCTATTTTTATCAAAGAACTGGCGTGAGGTTGCTTAGAACTCATTACAAGACAAATTCCTGTCATTTTCAGCCTCATTACTTCCTAGGAAATGGTTGCATATCAGGATTTGCAGCTTCTAGTTTTCACTTTTTGTTCGATGCTCGTTGACTGCAAGAAAAACATTGTGGGTATCAGGGTGCTTTGTAGCATTATCTGAAGATCTCATGGATAATTGGTGGATCACCAGATATGTCACAGACTCCTGTCAGTGCCTCGTTAGATTTAGGGAGCTTTAAAGAGTCGGAGTTTATATATAACCTCAGGTTATGACTCCGCTGCTCATGTGAAACTTTTCACAACCTAATGCGATTCACATTTGGAGCTTCCAGCACTTCATAACAGAAACATTTCAGGACAAAGACCTTCATCCAACAAATAAAACAATTTAGATTATCAATAGGGACGGATTCTGATGGGAGTAGCCTAATGCTAAATCAAAGATTTATTTTTTTTGTTTTTTAATTAGCATTAAGTTGTATTGCTCACTATCAACATCATTTGACTGGCTTACACTGCTGCACAGTGCTAGTGAATCATAACTTCTTGAAACAACAAGAAATACGTCTTATAATATTTTTGATCAAATATTTATCAAAAATTACAAATATTTTGTAAACTTTTATAGACTTGTCTGCACATTTCCACCACTTTTACTAACTCAGTGTCTATTATAACCTACGATACCTACAAAAATACAACCTCTCATCCTGGCTGGACTTGCCTCTCTAATAGAAAGTGAGAGTTTGTACAGAGTGTGTTTGATTGGTAGTTCTCTTTTTGGCCGTGTGCTATATTAGAACAATAGTCATTTATTATTGAAAAATAGTTTTTGACTGTTCCTAATATAGGTTTTGCTGATTTTTTCTCGGGCAGAGGTCTAAACCAGATAGAAAAACCTGTAAGGGGTATCAGCTGCTGCTTTATGTAATGCAACTAAAACAAAATGGTCTCAGGTTTTCTTGTTTTACAGATCAAGTCTGTCCCAGATTAGAAACTTAACCTTTCCTATTTCACAATTGAAAAAAACATTTTTTTTGCCTCACTATTTACAACTTTAGCCACAGAACAACAATCACAAAATCACCAGGTATTGATTTTACCACTTCTCTTTCTTAATATGCTAAGATGAGGTATAGATTTCAGCTGTTGTCTGTTTTTACAATCAGCAAAATTCTTTTAAAGCAAGTTTTGTGGTTAAAATATGTGGTTGACTATCCAGAGAGGTTTAGTTCTAAAAAAATGAAAAACTATAGAAATCCATTGATGTGAAACAAATATATGAGACTTACCATAGAGTTGACAGGTTACATTTCTCTCAGCAGCCCTGGCTTGGGCTTATGAAACATAACGATTGTGTTTGAAAATCATGTGACAGGAAATGATAGATCGGAGTCATCTGGCAAGTTTGGATGTTCTTTTTCATACAATTTATTTTTGCACATAAATCTTTAAACTAAAGAAGGATAATGTACAACTATATTTTTATAAAAAATTCCTATACTACTCATTTTTACTTTCATGTTACTCCCTGTTATATTATCCGGAGCTATACAAAATGGTAGCCCTGTAAACCAGATTGTTGTGTCGTCACTTACTTTTTTCTTAAAGAACAAAATAAGTTTGATACCTGTGAAATTCCTTCTGTTATTTTACTCAAATTCAACTACATTTTAAGTTAATAATCCTTGTGGCATATCTCCCAAACAATGGCTGTGGGACAAAAATGACTTGTATTATTCAGCCTTTGTATAAAAGCTTATTTAAACCATGTACAGTAGAAAAATGCATCCTTGTTGTTATATCTGAATTCTCATCTTGAAAGGGAGCTGATTTAAACACTGCTCATGCATTTTAAACATGTGCCACTTTATCTAGATCTAACCATGACTTCTTTTGACGTGTCTGCTAACAATTAACCTTGATGAAACAATTGCTTCTTTTAAAGTAATAGCCCCTTCATATTTTAAACCTAATGGACTTCCAAAAGACAAACTGTATATGTGCACTTACCAATTGTATGTAAATAAAATGACCTAATGTTGAATTAATAGGATATTCTAGATAGTCTAGTAAATGCTTTGGACCATACAGAAGCCCCAGCAACACCCAGAAAAACCATGTAAATGCTAAATTGTATCAAAACTCAGTAAGAAGTGTGTTTCTAATTTATATTTTTGACATGTTTATTTTTCCATATAATTGGGCATTATATTGCATGAATGGATTTAGTGTTCGAGTCATCATGTAAGCTATGTGTCATATACCATGTAAGATACTGTATATGAGCTGACAAAATATACAAATTTTATCAATTATTCTGGTATCGACAATCCTGTACAGTTTATTGTCATTTAGATTCAAATGTGTCTCCTTTCCACTGTACTCATCTTATTGATGCCATTAAAAAGTGAAAAATCATTTGGAGTTATGGTGCAGTTCGTCCCTGCTGTGGAGTTTATTCTATGAGTGCGAGGCCTCATTTGTAGATGCATTCGTAGTGCCTCACAGTACCATGGGACTTTCTTTAAGTGAGCCCATCTCTAAATAGTCGGAGTCCTTCAGTTGTGAGTGTCCCGGCCAGCATTTCATCTGTCAGCATGGCGGCCTGGAGAGATGACAGATGGACAAGCGTTGCGTGCAGATGGAGGGTGTGAAGGCCCAGTGTCTCTCCTCTGTGAGTCGTTTAGGAGAGGACGATGATGAAAGAAAACAGCGCCGAGTGGACGGGGCATTGCGAGGTGGCTAGAGGTGGCAGCAGCTCAAAACGGTTCAGTGGATACATGTTAGGATTTTAGCCATCTTTGATTTGATTTCTGCTTTTGAAATCCTGTCGGAGCCTATCCCAGTAGTACACCCCGGACTGGTCATCGGGCCATCGCAGGGCCACACAGAGACAAACAACCACAGGTTCACTCATTTTGGAGTGTCCAATTAACCTAACATGCATGTTTTTGGATGAGGAAACCAGAGTACCTGGAGAGAACATCCAAACTACCATGCTACCCCCTTGGTAAAGTAAAAAATCAGTAATGATATTTGTGAAACAGTGTCTTGAGCCTTGGTAGCAGGTGCTCCCTGTCTATCAAAAATCTTCCAACAAAACAGTTTGACAACATCAAGGTAAAAACAACATGTTGACACAAGTAAAACCTTATCATCCTATCATAAAGTGGCATGGCTGCAAACAGTGAGAAAGACCAGAAGAATTCTCTTCCAATGTTTTTCCATATATTGTAATCTTATAATGGTTTGACTTTTTCCTCTTTTAAACACTCTTTAGCCCACAATAACTAACCATAACTATTAAGGTGTTAAGTGTTATTGCTACTTTATTAAAAAATAAAAGATCAAAATCGTCTACTTGCTTGTGTTTGGCAGAAAAGGTAGACTACAAAGAAATAATTCCTCAAGCCTGGTTAACCTTTTGAAGCTTCTTTAATTTCCTTCCGAAATTTTTTGACCAAGTCCTTTCTCCCATCATTTGGGGCCAATCCATATTCCTCCCCTTGAATCAACTTCCCTATTTTACAGTTATGATGTCTTTTTTAAATAGGGTCAAGGAATATTGGCCGAAAAACGTTTTACTAGTGCTGTGGGGACCTATAATCATTCCTAGATTACCACACTTGTAGATCCCTTGATGAAAAGGAATACTTTGGCTCCTGTGAAGAGGACGGGTCAATTGGATGGGCCAGAGGGAGGACCTGGGGTCAGCTGTAAGTTTGACAGGACAACCAGATCCAGCAAGACTCACAATGTTTCCGAACTATTATTTGAGAAAGATGAAGAGTGAAAACCTCTTGAGGACTATAACATGCTTACTTCTCTCATTCCCCGAATATCTGAATAGGCACTTCATGTAATCCTGTTCGATGCCTCTGTACATAATTTTCCTGTTCATAGGGGGTTGTTTTTAAACTAAAACATGCTACTAAAGATGTAAACTTGTACATACCTTCCATTCTGCATCCGCAGTTATTTCCTAGACTTGATCAGACATCACTTGGACATAGCACGTGCACAGATGTTTCAAAGTCCTGACCTCTGAAATGCTAGGACTGACCAATGGGTGATGGAATAAAGTTTGAAAAAGAGGGGGAAAAGCCGAAGGATGATTAAAGACAAATGAGAATATATATAGAGTAGAAAGGCTAAAAAATGTATTGTTTTTATTTTCAATAGTTACTATTGTGTGCATGAATTTACACAAGGTTTGAAAAATCCTGGATCCCCCTAAATACACAGCTGCTGTGAAACGGCGTTTTCTTTTAGCTCCTGATCATCGCCCGTAAATCTGCTTGACTTGACAAGTTGTGGAGAGGTTGAGGAGGACAGACAGAGGAGGAAAGATAAAGAGAAACGGGGAGGAGGATGACACAGAGCTGAGCCGCTGACAGATGCGGTGAGCTCACTGCTGTTCCGACCTGGAGATGAGAAAATGAAGAGGATGTCAGGAAGAAACATGCAGGACAGGAAAGAAGGGAAGAACTACAACTGAAACCAAGGACCTTTTGTCCATTATGATCAAACTTTGTTCGTCACATAAGCATCTTGTGATCGGTGCTCTTACAATAGACGTATCATAATATACAAATATGATACATAAGGCATTATAGGGTAACGCAAAGAAAAGTGACAGCAAATGAAAATATTCACAGATCGTTGAGCCCACACACATAGACATTCATATGGGCATCCAGGCATCCAACACTGGGCGAGGATTTGCGGCTGTATTTTAGACAGATGCTTTTTTTCAATTCACGAGAAAAGCAAAAAAACACTTTGTTTTTATTCATAAGTAATCTCTCTTGCATATTTTGAAATAATCTTGTAGTGATTGAGCTTTTATTCAGGAATGTCGGCCATTTGGAAGGTCTGAAAAATAGCCTGCCAAGAGTCTCAAGACATGCAAAATGTCAAGTTATGTAAAAGATTAATTCATCTTAGCAACGCAATAATGGAAGACTGGTACAGATTGGTAGATTCAGTTTAAGTTACAGGCCTGGACGTCTATCCATACATCAATTATATCAGAAATATCTTTTTGGTTTGGTGTGTGTGTTTGGTTTCAGAGCGCTTATTGTTTCTATAACAAACAAATTTTTTACATCCATGACTCACATGCCGTGCATCTTCTGAGGAACCCAGATGTGTCTGGACACAAAAAGGGGGATAAAAATAGTAATTTGTCATTTCAGTGGTCATTATCTAAAGATGGCTTTCTTTCTTTTTTTTCCCTTTTACTTTCATTGACATCTAAATTACATGACAAAAATCAAAGGTAAAAAATGTGTTCCGTTTTGTTGTGTGCTCACTTCCTGCTCCAAAGACTCTAAACGCTTTTCTCTTTATTTACCTGTTGGAAAGTTGAGTCATCGCAGTTATGAGTTATGATTTATGAGTGTTTTTTTGTCTCATCTTTTGTGGCCCCACTTCCTCTGGCCCCTGGTCCTGTTTTGGCATAAACTTGCCCATTGCCAGCGGACATGTTTGGACCTTCGGCCCTTGACTTATGCTTTCTGGCAGAGGGCTTTGCTGTGCAGTTGGCTGGTTAAAAGGGTGTGAACCCACGGAGGAGATTCCTGGGCGCTTGAGTCAACAGCAGCTGTGGTTGGTGACGAAAAAAAGCTGTCCAAAGAGCCTTTTACCATCAAGTGCCTTTTCAATGTGAAAGGAGCACTCAGGTGAAAGGAGTCAGTGACCATGAAGGATTCACACACTCACTCACTCACACACACAAGGGGAAAAAAGTCCGAAATACACACATTTGCTCATGGAGAACCTTAGAGATGACTTTACATACGCACACTCACCTGGGCAAGACAGGCTTTAATGTTGTTCAGATGTAACATGCAACAAAAACACAAATGTATGCATGACACACAAATGCCCACACCCATACACACACACACACACACACACACAAGGAAACAACACAGACACCTGGCTGGCATTGAAGCCCTGTTCTGTTTGCATACCTCTCCCTTTCTAACCATCCTGCACAAAGCCCGAAAGCCACCATTAAAACTAGGAAAACAAAAACACAAAAAGGGGGCAACAGGCGGCTTCCATCCTTCTTCCACTTATCCCTCCTTTCCACCTTTCCTCTTTTTTTTTTTCCATAGTTCGGGGCCAAATGTTTACCTTCCCTCTTGAAAAGAGAGGGATGTGGATGGACAGGGTGAGAAAAGAAACAAATCTGGCTGAGGGGAAAAGAAGCCAGGGCCTTTAAAGTCTGCAACAGAGCCGTGACAAAAGCCTCCTAATCTCGGTGTTGTCTTTCGGCCCCTTTTTCTCCCTACACATCCTGCCAAGTTTGTGTCTGTGTGAGTGGAAAGGAGTAAGAGAGGGGAATGAACTTACATCCACTGTGTGAGAGTGAGCTATGCAGGCAAAAGTGTGTGCGCATTAGTTTGGGAGAATAGTAAAATGGCCGGACAAGATGATGTGTGTAGACAAGATGATGTGTGTTTGCGTGAGAAGCGATTGTGTATGATAAGGAAGTGCACATGCGCATGTGTGTGACAGGAGAGGAATCTTTCCACAGTTGTGCTGACATCACTCATGCATACATGGGACAGTTGGAGGAGGCCCGCTTTTCAAAGACAACAGCCTGCCTGCTTTCACATGTGGGATGAGACTTTGTGTATTGAAGAATATCCAGGTCACCAACCCTCACCTGTTCCTTTTCTTACTCACAAACCACCCCATTTATCTCCCTTCCGCCAACATTCCACGAAACTGCCTTTACAAGTGTCTTTGTCCGTGTACATGCAATAGCTTCTCGGTCTCTTTATTTTCACCACCAATAAAAGCAGCAGATTTAAACAGGTGTGTTTACTTGAATCACATCGTTTACGTGTGTTCATTTACAGAGACGCTTTCGAGGGCTCATCTTAGTTTTATTGACAAAATTAGATACGTTTCATAGTCTTGATGCATGCAGTGGTTATGCTATTTTCCTGGTAAGAAAATGTATGTGAATGTGATGTCCTCAGAACTTATTGAAAAAGGACTGGATGTGTGAGTATTCCTCCTCATGAGAGGAACACATGGCTGAAGTGGGCAATGCCCAAATGGGCTATAGTGCCATCTACAGTTTGATCAATTAAATGCCAAGTTCAATAATTGATCAATAATTTACTGTGGAGATTCTCGTCCCTTTGGTGGAAGCTTGAATTTCAGCGTCTACCTTCGGGAAAGTTCAAAATATCAGACAAGAGGAGTGGAGTTCAGACCACTCTGTGATTTGCTGATATCCTCTGCATCAAAATGGGAAGGTATTGCAAACCTATTAGTTTTGGCCAAATTAGTTGGTAATCCGTTAACTGAATTTGCAATTGCTAGCAGGCATGCTAGCAGCCCAGCAGGCTGGCATGCAAACTTTGATCAAAGTGATGGAAATCAGGAGTCTCCTGTGGGCTGTTTGGGGGTAAATGGGCCCCCAGTCCTTGTTAACCAGAGCAGATGTTGGTTTTATTTGCCCGTTATGAGTGGGACACAATGCAGGTGTGCACTCCTCTGAGCAGCTTAAA